AGTGCTTTTATTTTCCATAACAATTTCGACTGAAACGACTGAATTTTCAGTTAAGAGTTGGAGTTTTTAACAGAACCCCACAGTCTCTACATTGAGTTCATATTGGTTTTAGTCAAACATTATAGGAAAAAAGTTAATTAATTAAAGTTAATTTTAAACATTTGTCAAGATTGTATTGTTTACTTAGATACTTTCCTTTCAGCCTAGTGTGGGTTATATATATACATATCTCATGATGGTGTAACTGACAAACTCTACAGATTTTTTTTTTTTTTTCTCCACTCCTTCCTCGCCTTTTAGGCTATACGAAGATGTTTCCGGGTGAGGGGAGACGTCAATGATTTTAACATAACTATGATAACCTAAATTAGAAAAAAAAGTTCATGCTTATTAAGTTTATAATTTTATTGAGGACTTGCCATACAATAAATAAAGTCCCCTAATATGATTTAATTACGATTTAAATATTAATTTTGGAAAACAATTGTTTTCCAAAGAAATAAATATTTTTTTTATTTTGAGAATTATACATTTCACAACCCGTGAAAATATTCCGAAGATATCATCGTCCCCCTCCTCCAACTCTCCAAACTCTAATCATTGAATCGGAATAAATTAAATTTGAATAGAGATAGGTGCAAATTGAGGTATATCGGAAATTTATGCATGTAGTTAAAATTAGCCTGGCAGTTTTTAGGTTAACAAACGAGTGCTATCACTTGATCATGCAGATTACGAGTCGTTCGGAATCGATTAATTAAATCAATATTTAATCATCAATGTTTTCCTTATTTACTTTATTTATTTATTTTTTTCTTTTAGAAGCTGCAAGCTTGTAGCACTAAGATATAAAACTGAAGAATTTGTTTCTTTGAACGCTACATTTAAAGGAATTGAAAGTGTTATTAAAAAAATTATTATAAGATTATATAAACCGTTTAATTTGAGCTTATAGCTTTATAACTTACGTGATAATCCTCGAAAAATAAATTAGGGCAAATTTTTCTTTACAAAATAATCATTAAGAAAAAATATATATAACTACGAGTTTGTGAATAAATAATCATTCTTAAAAAGGAAAAATTTATAAAATTGATTCACCTTAGAAATCGATCGCTGGAGATGCATCAACAAAACCAATTAATTACATACCTTGTCTATGCCTTTACTATTTTACGTAGTTCGATATATAAAGTAATTTGATAATCGATTTATTCAGTGGTCATTCTGATAGTCTCCATCCAAAAAAATCTGGAAAACTCGACGAATACGCAAGCATAGATTACTATAAATATAGTTTGTTGTTAATATAAATAAAGCGTCAGGAGAAACTTTCAGGTGAAGGTAGATCAAGGCATATTAGAGTCGACTTTAGTGAAAAAAAAGTTTCTAAAAAACTCTATTTTCCTGGACAACTATTTCTATCCTTATCTATGGCATGTTGCGAAGAAAACCAGTATAGACTTTTACTTCAGCGAGAAAAAAACAAAACACATAATTTACACTGAAGTACTGTAAGGTTTCAAGATGGCTGAAAATGTTTCACAAAAAACTTTGTTAGTATAAACCAATCAAACTGAAGATGTACTTTTTTTTAGTGAATGGTAAATGCCAAAGATAACCGATGTATTTGTTGTGTTTTGATTAACTATACTAAAGTAAAAAACACCCTGAAAATTCAAAGTCCTATATAATTGCCTGAAGAATTTGTTAAATTTGACGTATTTAAGAAAGCTAAAGTTCTTAAGATAAAAATCGCTAATTGTAATGTCACTTAATCTTATCAAAGATGGAACATAGTTCGATTAGAAATTAAGTTGATGATGAATAAATTCCTAGAGAGTAATGATAAAATGAATGTGTGAAGGCATGTTTAAAGCTATTCTTATAAATATATAAAACTGAAATAAAATTGAACAACAAGAAGCCTTCATGGTTAAAAATGATTTAATCTCCAATTACTTCCTTAGAAATATTTTTACACCTCCATATGTGCCGAAGGAAAAAAAAAATGTTTCATTTACTCACCTTTTTTATTTATTTTTTATTAAAAAAATATATATACATTTATAAAATCTACAAGAACAGTTTTATTATAGTTTAAATGCTATTATCAAAATAAGGTTAGAAAATTATAATCATAGAAATTAAAAGATATAAGCATTTCTCGCCTCCTTTTGTTTTACTAAATATTACCTATATGTCTTCGATGTTTCTTGTTTGAATTCTACAATCAGAGAGATAAATGCAATTTATTTTTCTATATAAATGTGTTTTCCTGTCAATAGTTTTTTAAATTATTTATTTAATGATTTGTGAACATAAATCTTTAAGGATGTATTCAATATAAATATTAATTATTATAAAATGTATGCAGCATTTTTAAGTAAATAACTAAAGAATACAGCGAAAATAAATCCTCTTTAAATCTGTGTCGGGAAGTTACTGAATTATCGATACTATCGAATTATGGATATAAAACTATCGACTATCGCCCATCCCTAATAATTTATTAAATCATATCCTTGACTTTTCAGTCTATTATATTATATATTTCATTAAATATTCTCTCCGAGAGGAGAGGGGACTTTTGGGCTGAAGCCCATTCCAAAATGAAAAAATATTTACTATATATCAGTCAGAGAAGCAAATATATTATAATAGGTTATTATTGGAAAAATTACAAACCACACAGGCTTATGTTTCCAAAATGCAGGCAAAGAAAAAACCGATCAACGTTTCGCCAATTAGAACAGAAAAGAACAGCTTGCATACTACATAGTATGCGATTGCATTTCATGGAATGATGCTCAATTAGCTGTTATTTTCTGTCCTGATCACAGGCAGATCTACGGAGGGAAAAGGGAGGGAGGAGGTTTCGGGCTGAAGCCCCCACCCAAAATAGTAAAATATAACCATGTCTTGTGAAAAAAATTTTTAAATCACCTCGAAAAGTATTATTGCTTGTGTAATTATATTTAAAGAATTACTTAAACTCAATTTCAAATAAGTAGTTAGTTTCCTTCTTTTTTTCCTAAGTGATTATCTATATATATTAAAAAAAAACATCTTTCGCGCTGAAGCTCTCTTCCTCATCCTCCCAAAAAAAATTAAATCCTGGATCCTGTTGATGCCTGAATTGGCGAAACGTTGATGGGTTTTTTCTTTGCCTGCATTTTGGATACATACGGCTATGTGGTTTGGAATTTTTCCAATATTAACCTAACAATTTATGTTCTGTGTCTTGGTAGTTTGTTACTAATTTATAATAAAATGTATTATATTTGATTATAAACAATCAAACTATGTACTCATTTTAAATTACCAATTAGTACTCGCGAATACTTCGCATAGAACATTTGTCAGTGAACAAATGAAAAAATAATAAGGAAATTAAATAATACAAAACATCATAAGATGAAGAAATCAATTTTTATTTTCTTGTCGATTGTAATCGACCAAAGAAAAGATAATTATTTTAAAACTTGATTCCTGTTTTAAACTAACATGTTTACGAATTCCAGTAACCTACATTTTTGCTAATAATGGTTAGATTTCGATGATACTTTTTTATTTTAGTTAGTTGTAGAAAATTTAGTAATCTCTCAAATAATCATTGGTAAGCTCAGGAAAAAAGTATACTTACTGAATTATTCGCAAATAAAGTTTTTTTTTCCTTCGTAACTTTTTTCCCCTGAAATTTCTGGGTGGTATGAATATTTTTTTTACCTAAAGGAGAAAAAGATCATCAAAATGAGGGCTCAATCATTGGATTTAACGAAGATATGGTGTACCGACAAAGAAACAGCTTTGAGAAATAATATATTAAGATAACGCATGTATTTCACTACTAACTTTCGATCTGAAGCCCCCCCCAAATGGTAAAATATAACCATGTCTTATAAAAAGCATTATCTCTAAAAATATTATTGTTTTTTTAATTACATTTAATATGACTTCTAGTTTCTTTCTTTTTCTTCCAAAGTAATTAACATTAAATTAAATATATGAGAATAAAAAACTTTCGGGCTGAAGCCTCTCCTCCCTAAATTAAATTTTGTATCCGTTAGAGTCAAGGATGGTATATCAAAAAATGATAGCAATAATTTAGTTTTACCACTTTCTAGCTATAAATTGCGCTGTTAAAATATAAGTATGAAAAAACCTACTGGAATTACAATCTATTGGTGAGTGCTCTTTGATTCGATAGCGCATATTGCGTATACAAATCATCAGAGAAGGTCAGAACTAGTCTATTATCTTGGCGAAACCGTTATGCAATTAATTGTATAACATTAGGACTGAGTCGTCATTAGAAATAACTGCATTAGATTAAGAACATATCTAAAAATCGCCCATTCATTGGGCATTTATCAATGAGTAGTCAAATCTGCATTGCTTCAGATTGTCCTAAGCATCAAATCCTTAGACAGTCAGCGCCTCCGGCAATGACTTCATCTCAATATCCCTCAATAATAATTAAATTTACTTTTTAAGATGTTTTCTATTATGCAATATTTGAACTTTATTTCATTCAACATTTCGTTTATATTATTTATATACATATAAATTATATTATTTATTTATTAACATCAAAATAAAACTTGGCTTACCGTGAAATTTTCAATCTGAAATCTGAAAAACTATTAAATGAGAAAAATCCATATTATTCTAGAGGTAGCATTAATTAATTGATCGATGATTGAAAACAAACCTATGATTCTTATCCGAAATTTCATCTTCAATTATATATTTTATGTTTTTATTTTTTCACTGTACTGAAACCACCAAATATATAATCATATATATTTATTATTGAATATGCAATATAAAAATTGACTAATTGCATTTGGGAAAACAAGGAATAATTTAGATATTTGATCAGCAGTTTAAAAACTGCATATAAAAAAAAATATGCAATTGCATAACAATCAGAACTTTGGTCATAATATATCTATATCGTTTATACATTTTTAAAAAAATCTTGTTTTGATTGCCAGGTTCTAATAAAAGATTTCTCGACATTCTACAATCGAGGATTGAAAGTAGACACAAAATTAGATCCTCTATCAAATCACCTCGTGAACTTGGAGGATTCCCGGTGGAAGAACCTGAGAAACAAGCTGACTCCAGCATTCAGTTCAAGTAAGATGAAGATCATCCATGAGCAGTTATTAGAATGCTCTGATCAATTGGTTGAGTGCTTATCAGTCTACGAACAGACAGGACAACCTTTCGACACAAAAGCTATCATGGCTAAATTCACAGTATTCGTTATTGGATCCATTGCATTCGGTCTGTCATTGAGTACTCTCACTGACCCAGAATGTGAGTTCTGCAAAATGGGAGATAAAATGTTCAAACCTACTTTCAAGGGAAGGCTGCGATTTGCACTGCGTAGCCAGTTCCCAACGCTGATGCGTCTCTTCAACTGGAAGGGATTGTCAAAGGTATATATTATCCTTCTATACAAAGATTTATAATTTAATTTACATCTAAAAATATAATTATGTATGAAGTAATATCAGGTCTCATGAATTTATAATTTACAATAAATAAATATTATATTGTAAGATGTATAAACATGGTTTGTAAAGTAACTAAATGAACAAAAGTTCCAAGATTTCGAATTGGAATAATTAAAGTTATAGCAGAAAAAATTGTTCAATTAATTATTCTGATGTTGATCTCAATGTGGATCTGTATAAGTAAAAAAGTTCCTAAATTTTATGGACAGTTAATTGTAAACCTTTTCTACTCAATATTATGTTACTTGCTAATACTAGCTACTAAAAACAAAAAAGAATCAGTATATGGTGAAAATTTAAATTATTATTTTATTTTTTAAATTTGAGATTTGTTAAATATGCATTTTCACATTGAGAATGATAATATAGCCATTAAGAATAGAAAAATACAGTTACACTGAGTGTGGCCATAGCATAATTTCATCTAACTTATAAAGAACTTGAATAATTCACCTGAAAAATGATTCCATTTTATATTTCACTTTTAATATAACCATTATCAATTTATTATCATTTCAGGAAACTGAAAATTTTTTTTTCAATTTGGTTAAAAGCACAGTTGATTACCGAGAAAAGAATAACATCCAACGCAATGATTTTCTTCAGATTTTAATGGAACTTAGGAAGCAAGATCAACAAAACAATGGAAAGGATGACAGTAAGACAACTTTTCAACCAAATTTATTTGATCACAGTTATCATATTCCCTGCCATTTACTTGCCACGTTTTTATATTAACTATAAATTACTTTTTTTTTCTAAAAAAAAAACAGTAAATTATAATTATTACTATTTTCCTAGAAAGTTGCCTTATATATACCTCTTTGGAAGATTTTGTTAATATTAATAAAATTATTAATTTAAGCATTGCTAATATTACATTTAAATTTTACATTTTTATCATTAACAATAAACCATGCTTCTTATCCTTTTTCCCAAAATATTTTCTATTATCTTAAATTTTTTCTATGATGAGCTCATCTTAGCTTGATTTTTATTTTATAAAATCCAAACCTCTTGCAGTCTACATTCTAAAACTGTCTTCAGAGAAAACTTCATTTTCTTTTACAGTTTCACATATACAATTCAATTTAAAACATTTAGAATACAATTATTTTACTATAATATGTATTCTATTTTTTCAGTGAAATTTGATGAAGAATTGATGACAGCCAATGCATTCGTCTTTTTCTTGGCTGGGTATGACACCACTGCTACTACCATCAGTTTTATGCTATTTGAGCTAGCACAAAATAGTGAAATACAGGAACAAGCATACAATGAGATACAAGAGAAAATAAAAAAATATAATGGTGTTCCTACTTACGAAGCAGTTAAAGAAATGACGTTCCTTGACAAAGTATTATCAGGCAAGTAATATACATTTATTTATTTATAAACATTTATTATCAAATATATTTAGTCTTCTCAAAGAACAAAAGTTTGAGATTTATAAGTTAAGTGGTTGTGTGTTTGGATCAGTTTACTCTATTTGAAAGTTGTGGAGGATATGATTCAAAATGCTATACATTTAAAATATACACTTTGTGATGTTGAATTGGATTAGACAGCCAAGAAGAGATGTATAACTGATTAAGAAAATAATTATTTCTTTTAATGAAGGTGATAAAACAAATGAGTACTTCCTTCATAGAAGTATTTTACTTCTTTAAGAAAAAGGGAGGTTCAAAAAGAGCTTAGGATGTGAATTTGATTTTTTCATAGGATCACCGTATTATGTTTGAACAATAGCTAAATTTGATGTTAAATTTATTATGATTTTTGTTGAAATCATATGTGAAATTATGTAATTATTTTAGATAAAAAGCCATAAAGAAAAACAGTTCTACACCTTGATTAATATGTGAAGAGTTGATAGAATAAGGGTTGATAATTGTTAGGAATAAGAAAATATTTAATCATTAAAGTTAATGTATAGTTGCAAAATTATTTCTTTTTGAAAACTCCAGAAAATTTCAATTATGGACCATTTTACAGTTAAAATTTAAACTACTGTCAATAAAATTTGAAACATGAATCTTTTTGTGACTGTTTGAACTGATAAAAGATGGGATTCCTACCAAGCAGAATTCAATTAAAAATAATATATAATTTTTCGACTTATACTCTAAAGATTTACCAAGCTAGATTTATAGTTCACTAATATTCAAAATTAGACTTTAAAAGGAAAATTCAATCAATTAATGATCTCTATGATTTCAGAAACTTTACGAAGGTATCCACCAGCTTCAGCAATCGTACGACAAGCCAGGTCACCCTATCAAGTTCCTGATAGTTCTTTAGTACTACCAAAGGGGTCAATGGTTTATATTCCTATCTACTCTCTCCAACACGATCCTAAATATTATACTGATCCAGAAAAATTTGATCCTAGTAGGTTCGATGATGAAAGTAGAATAGTAAAAGGAACATACCTTCCATTTGGAGATGGACCAAGGATCTGCATAGGTAAGTCTATTTAAACTAATTGTATTAAGAAAAATGTCAGAACATTAAGAGATAGTTCACAACTTTCTTTCATTATTATTTCTTAAAATGTATTACACTGCTTCTTTTTTGTACCAGATCATTCAATAAAATTATAAACTATTCTATATATCTATAATAAATTAAGTTAATAAATAGCAAAATAATAAAATTTATATAAACTAAAATTAGTGAACAGTTTTAAGTAATATACCATAAAAGCATGATAAAACTGTTAAAAGAAAAATTTTACAGTTCATCAGGGTGAACCAATTTGGTTTTACTACGAAAAATCTTACATACCCAGAAGGTAATCTATAAAAACACTTCCTTCCAATACTGACATATACAAATGGATCTTGAAGCCTCTTAATACAAGAGTCAGATTCATGCTGCCAAAATGAGGTAGGGTCCGTCTGAGATGAATTTGTGGGTAGAGGGCTAGAGAGAGGCGCTGTGGAAAATCATTTTCCCACCGATCTCCCACTCTTTTGGCTTCTCTATTCATTCATTCATACTTCCGCAATATTTTTAACAAGAAGAAATTTCTTTTATCATTTTTTTTTCTTTTACCAATTTTTGTTGACTATGTCAAGTAAACTGGGTAGAGAGAAAACTATTGACTCTGAGACCAAAATCGTATATAAATTAATGAAAACAAAGGCTAGGAGTTTTGGGAAGGTAGAACTTGAGAGGAGGACACTGCATGAGCTCCCTTTTTCTACCGGTGAACTCATCTTATATAGGGTTTTTCCTTAGGAAGATCGATAGAAAGACAAGACGGAACAATGTGAGGAACAGTACGATTAGAGCGAGTCTTGATATGAGATTAGTCGAAATATTTGAATAACATAGCTTGAGGCGTTTCAGACACGTGTTTCAAATGTCAGAGCTAACGATGAAGATATCGCAGAAGGAAAATGACCCAAGGAAGAGTCTAGAAAACCTGAGATGAAGGATTGAAAGAGGTTTTCAACAGGAGAGGTTTGGAGTGGAAGAGAAGGAAATAGCTGGAATAGGACCAGGATTTACGGATCAAGCTTCATTGAAAGGCACCACACACTGCGGTGTACTAGGAGGGAAGACTATGAAGATGAAAAAAAAATCCAGATATTATTATCTACTTCTGTCACATAGAAATTATAATTTTATTAATGTACTTACTGGTTAGATGGATTCTATGAAATATTGTTTTTCTTAACTGGCTGTCAAATGGATGTTTTATGAAATGTTAGTTATGACATTTATCTGTTAATACAAAATTACTTTTTACTGATCAATCATTTCTACACTTTTATTTGAATATCATTAAAAGGCTTAAAAAAAACAACAACAATAGTCTGCCTTCTATGCTCTATAAAATGGTACTACTCAATGGAATCAATCATCATAAACTAATATGTAATATTATTTTTAAATAAATAGATACATATGTGTAATAAAATAAAAACTTTGCTTACCAAAAAGATTGTAAAGAGTTGGATATGTAGTGAAAACCAGTACAATTTGTATTAGCAAATATTACTCTTAACTGAAATGAACGATTCAAAAGCTCTGTTATACATCCTCATAAATAGGTACTGAAGAGCTGAAGTCAAAAGACTTTGAAAGTGGGGCGTTAGGGAGTTATAAAGGAAATAAATAGGGTTGGGTGGCATCTGATCCACAGATTAATCAGATCCACACCCACTGTTGGGTTAAGTACTAAAATGATTCTGATCTAAAAAAAAAATCAGTAGATTTTTCAACCATTATTTATTCATAAAACTTAGATTTTTTCTGTATTTAAAAAAATAATTCATGGGATCTTGAATAGTATGCTTAATGTATCAATATCTCTCTGCCAAACGGAAAATTGCAATCTCAAAATCAATAATTGTGTTATTTTACACTTATTACAATCCCTAACTGTGCTCTATAACTTTTATATTTGAATAATATATCAAGTGTGTTTAATGTAACATCTATGCAGTTTTTTTTTCATTTGTACAGAGTAAAAAAAAAATTTTTTTTAGTACCTAATAACATAAGTATATCCAAATAACTTTATTTTTATAAATGAAAATATCACAGGAGTTATTAATTAAATAGTATTTACTTTTTGTTGCTTTACAGGACAGAGACTAGCTAAAGTTGAAGTTAAAGTTGCAGTAATAAAAATTTTGATGAGATATAAAATTTCAGTCAATGATAAAACCATAAGGCCACTGAAGTATCATCCCAAGACTTTGTTTTTGACACCTATTGGAGGATTATGGCTTAATCTTACACGAAGGATTTGAAATAATCCTCTTTTTAATATATATATGCTTTACCAAAGAAAAGAAAAATGTAAATGACTGTAAACTAAAATAATGTTACAATTGAAATAACATAATTTTACATGTAAATTGTGTATAATAAATTAAGTATTATTTTGATATTATTCATAATTTTTATAATTGTAGTGTGTTATGTAAATTTTGTTTCTAAATAAATTTTTTTAAAATAAATAACGATTTATTCTTAATTTATGGTTTTCAAAATTTTAATGGTGAAAACCATTAGTCCCTCTAATTTAATTGTTTCCTTAACAACCTGTAACTCTAATTTTTGTTTCTTTTTCTTCTTCTTCTTCCAAGGCACTATAAATCATGAAGAGTCTTAGCCTCCTCAAGACGTGTCCACCAGGCGTCTCTGTCCTGCGCAGCTGCTTTTCAGTTACGTACACCAAGTAGTGCACGTGCATCCCTTGTCACACAATCCTGCCATCGCAGCCGTGGTCTTCCTACTTTCCTAGAGCCTTGTTCATTGCTCTCCATAGTTTTTTTGGAGATTACATCATTTTGCATCCTCGCCACATGCCCTGCCCATCGCAGTCTTGCAAGCTTTATGATTCTTATGATATCCGGCTCCTTGAATAGATTGTAAAGCTCTATGTTATGTCTAATCCTCCAATTCTGTTCATCACACACAGGACCATAGATTCTGCAGAGCACCTTCCGCTCAAATAACGCTAGGGCTCGCTCGTCTCCTTGCGTCATGGTATAGGCTACCGAGCCATACATCAGTACCAGACGAATAAGCGTTTTATACAGCTGTGTCTTTGTGCTGCGAGAGATGAGTTTAGTTTTGAAATGCTTATTTAGGCAAAAATAGCACTTGTTTGCCACTACTATCCTTCTCTTGATCTCTTGGTTTCCTCTGTTTTTTTTTTCTACAATACAAAATATTCACTTGATACAGATTCATTTGCACTATGATTCTTAAAATTAATTTTTGGGATGTTCCTGGATAATTATTGAGGATAATTATCCATAAATATTTAATGAAAAATAAATAAGAGATATTTAAAATATATAATATACTGTTTGGTCCAGTGTTAATTGGATTGCTTTTTCAAAGGTTGGTTCTGTGTTTATCAGTTTTCCAATTAGGTATATACCTGTATTAATTATGGCAGTATTATACCTGGCATAGGTGGCAGAAATTAACAAAAACCTTATTAAAAACTAAGGTTATTTATTTAAAATATACTCAATAAAGGAGTGATATGACTGTAAAACTAGAATACACAAATTAGGGGTACATCAATATTCTGAATAAATATATAATTCATCCGGAATAATTTGAGAATATTACCACAAAATATTTTAAGATTAATTCACTATTTCTTTGGAAAAAACATTGTTTATTATATAACTTGGCTGATGAGATTTTAAATCTGTTGTGGTGAGCTAGGGTTGTTCATCTCATTGTTTATCAGAAGTCTAAAAAAAAAACCTTTTCTCCATCTACAAGAGAATTTACATCCATCTTTCATTCTTTACTCTCCAAGAGGCGGGAATGTAGATTATTTCTGATTTATCCTCAGATGTTTGGTAGGAGGGTGTTTAGGCAACTTTCCAAATTTAATTAAAGTAAACGCATATACTCTAATGTGTTCAATATAGGCAACATTCGACTTATTTTGGCAGAGGACTATACTTTGACGAAGTGGTAGGTTATATGAATTGTGTAAAATAAACCCACCCTTTTATGCTGGCAGACATCTTACTTAACTGAGAGGGCCCTACAGTCTTCTCTGGTTGATGCCTCTGTGGATATCTGCCGAGTGTATCTGGTAGCTGGCACGGATTAAACTTTATCTCTAAGATCTTATCTGATCTTTTTTCATTATTCACAGCAACTCGACAATCGGGTATAATAACTTTCAAACAAAACAGAGGGTGTTAAGACTCACTCTTCTACCAATAGGCATGAATTTAATTCAGTTTACTAAAATGCTTCCTCCAATGACAATATGCATGTGTGGTATCTTTTCAACAAGCTGAGTTATGTTAACAATAGAGATGTTTTCTTCCTTACTGTGTCCTTCTATATCTTTTTAATATTGGATTTAGAGCTTATTTGGCATTATATTTGATACATAGCAATAGCATATCAGTGAGTCTTTGCTAGGGAATAAACCATAATTTGACAAAAGCTTCCATGGTCAATTCTATTGTAAATGAGTATCTTCCAGGGCTGTACATTAAATTTTGAAATTAATTAACAAATTGTGGATAGGAACTTAAAAATAATATTTTTACTCATATATAGATGGGTAATAAATAAAGCTATATGAGTCTGCCTACCCAGAGTCGCCCTACGGCCAATGAAACAGAATAAATAAAATTTTTCTACCATGAGCCGGGATTCGAACCTGGGACCTTTAGCACCAGAAGTTCAGTACCCTAGCACTCAGCCACCCCACTCCCCATAGTATTACTAATAGTATTGCCCTTCCTCATAGTATTACTAAACACAATCATAAACAAAATAATAGATTAGATAGATTGTTGGTAAGATCAAAATAATAAGTATAAATTGTATTAAATCCCTCTGCAATCTTGATGTACTGGCACCAAATACAAGAACACAATGTATTAAGTAATTTTTAAATACCTACATGGTGGTAGGATGGAAATAAATAACCCAAAAAAAATTAAGTAACCATTCATTTCTTTATCAAACTTTATTTCAATAAGTTAGTTAAACAAAATAATATTTTAAGGGAATATTTCTGACTAATATGTTTTTTTGAAAAGCAAATTACCATATTCAGCAAAGTTACTTTATTTTATAGTGATTTTTTATTAAAAAAGAAGAAGCATATTAACAATGAATTGAGGAATCAACTAAAAACTATAAAAGATAGCATAGTTCTAAGTGATGTTTATTATTATAAAATAATTTCATAGAATATTGTGAATTGACTAATAATACAATTAAAATGGTAAATTCTAACTACATGTGAAAATATTGGAGTTTGTAATAGTTAAAATGGTTTATAGATAATTCCTTACAATGAAAAAAAAAATAATGATGTAGAGATGGTTGATCGTGATATAATATGAGAAGGAGTTGGCAGGGGAATGCGGTCAAATAACTACTAAATTTTTAAAAAATAGTATTTTTAATTGTTTCACCAATGTTTCGACCCATCTTGCAGGTCTTCATCAGGACTACAAAAGATAAAAAATATAAAAGGTACACGGTGAAAATAAAATAAATGAATTAATAGATGATATTAAATAAAAACAGTTGTCTGATAAAGAAGTAATAAGATTATATCAGAGATATAGTGGGTGACAGTGTAGTTAAAATATCAAGTATTATATACAAAAAAGATACAAACAAAAATAGAAAATAAGTATGAATAAAAATAGAAAACAAAGGAGAATATAGCATGTTAGTTAAAAGTAGACAAATTGTGGTAAAAGATAAGAAATAAGTGTATAACGAACTGGTAAAGATTACATTTGATAGCTGAAGGTTGTTAACAGATAAAGAAATTGAGTGTTGATGAATAAAGAATTTGAAAAATGAATAAGTAATGATGTAGTAAAGCTAAAATAAGAATAAGATAACATAATAATATGATATCAGTGGATAACAAGCCAGTGCCAAAAAAATAAATAAATAAATACAATTTTTTATTTACTTTTTTATTTTAATGAAATTTACAACTGTATTAAATGAAAAATACAACAAGGAAATGTGACATTGGTAATATGACATGTACAACATGAAGAGAAACTACCCATTGGTAGAACTCAAAAAAAAAAAAAAAAAAAGAAAATATATACATATAAATTAAACATAACAGCTAATTGGTTAAAATGTTAGGTATTTTTGAAGGATAAAAATTATTCTTTCTAATGAATATTAGAACAGCTCTAATGAATATTATTTACTACACTGATATCTACTACTGAATTAAAATCATGATAGTTTAAGTAGTTCAAGAACCAGCTTCAATCATTTTTCCATTGAATTTTTTTTTATTTTCATATTTTATTTATTTATAGCCCATGATACAGAAACCTTTTTATCAAATTATTAACATCCCCCTGAAACTTCATTAATAACTTCATCTCATTCTATCCTACAAATAGTTTATTTACGAAAATTCTCGGGATTGGGTTTTCAATCTGGAGGGGAGCAAACTTTGTCTATTTAATTAGGCATTAAAAACTCATAAATACCCATTTGCTTTTGACCTGAATCGAAAGATAATTTGAGCACAAAATCAAGAAAAACGATGGCCTTCAAAAATATTGAGCTGTTTGGCGTGACCTAGACCCCCAAATTCTCAAAATAACGAGGTTATATAGGAAAAACGGCCCAATATTTTTGTAGGCCACTTTTTTTATTAATTTTGTGATCAAATTATCTTACAATCCAAGTGGAAAGCAAATGGGTATTTATGAGTTTTTAGTATCTAATTAAATAGACAAAGTTTGTTCCCCTCCAGATTGAAAACGCCTCAATTCCAAGAATTCAAGAGTTAATAATTTCATAAAAAGGAGTCTGTTCCACGGACTATTAAATTTTATAAAAATAATATACAAAATATCAGATGAATGTAGTTACAATACTTATATTATATAGAAATTCAACAAGGTAAATTATAAATATTTTTAATGTTAATATATTTCCAATAGTATTGTTAAAATATTATCTATATTATCTATAATACTGATGCCTATGATGATTCCTTTGATAATACCTGCAAAACAAAATTTTGGATAAGTTTTCGTGTTTTTCACAATTAAAAGTTAAACAAGAAGACAATGACAAAGTTAAATGTTTTAAAACTCTCAACCTCTTGTTTATGATGCAATGGTGGATTGTAAAAAGAATTAAGGAGCATACTAACAGTTCATTTTGCCAGTTTGAAAGAAAACTGAACCAATTTAAAACTTCTTACAGGGTTGGTATTTTTGGGAGAACCAACTTAAATTAGCCCCTAGGAAATCTTGAAATTGACCATTTCACAAAAAAATAAAAATATAATTTAACAGAAGAAATTGAGACACCTTTGAACGACATTGAATAATAATTTATATTTGTATTTTATTTTATTCAATATGTCTGTAATTCAGTTGCTTTATTAATAAGCTAAAATTAATTTATTTTATCTGCTTTGTAATGTTTTAAAATTTTCAAAAAGTGGTGGACAGTTGGTAGACCCTAAGGTTCCTGTAATTGATCTATACTTACTGCTTTAAAATGAATAGAGATATTGTTAGTTAGATATGATTTATTTCCTCTAGAATTTTTATCACAAAGTACATTGAAAATAATTATAAATAAGATTGTATTTGAGCTCGATAAATTTTATAAAAGGTGTTTCAGTTAAATTAAAGGTTTAACTGATCTTGTTTTTATGATCGCAAATCGTAAACATTCTATAAAATTTAAGAATTTGTTTAATAGCTTCTATTAAGCACTATCTCTCTGCAACTATTGAGCATACTGTTTATAATGTTGTCACTGATTTGATAAGAAATATAATACCATAAACATGGTAATACTGCTAACAGTTTCTGAAGGTCAAGAAGCTGCAACTAGTGTTCAAAAAGTCTTCTTTGCAGTAAATCCCATGTATACTCAATGGGATTGAGATGTGGAGACAATGTGGGAAGGAGCAGATGTGTGTGTCCAGATTTCCAAGACATTGATGAACACCTTTCTTTTAAGAAAATGAAAATCTGTGCTAATTATGGCCCTGGTTTGAGAAATGTAATCTTCTATAATTTTTTAAAGATAAGAACAGCAATGAGATTATCTTCCACAATATGGAGTAGAGTCTGTCCTCCTGAGTAGATTGTACCTCTTGACTGCATGGAAGGAAGCACAGACTGTGGCAGTGTACTCATTTCGGTGCCTACGATTGTATCATCATTTAGGCGCTCGCAGCATAATGACCAGTGGTATTGCTGTAGGTTGTCTTAGAGGTGTATAAGATGCTAGACCAACTTCGTATGGTTTGCATTAATAATGGTCATGACAGAACATTCAACTATCACTTCATTTAGGCTATGCCAGGCACTATGAAAAGGGTTGCTTCTTATAGTAATACCAATATTTCTGTCATACCTTGGTGTCATAATGTGCTGAGATCCAGTAAGAGGTCTCCAATTGGTACTTTCGATTTTTCTAAATCTAGTTAAAGCCCAGAAAACACAATCTGGGAGACACAAACTGCATCGGCGATGTCTACTGGTGATAGCTGGTGCCCTCGACTACTTTTTCTCACTATAATATTGTAAACTTTTGGTTCAACATGATATCCTTCCTTCGTTAAACAGAATATCACTGGATTAAAATTGAGAAAAAACCAAAACAACTGTTGGTTTACAAAATGAGTATTCTTCATGTTGACTATTCTTTAGTTAATAATTAATTAAAAATAAAGAATAGTTGTGGTTTACTTTTTATGTTTACAAAGAGAATCCCTAACTAAAAAAAAAAGGTATTTTAATTAAAATGAAATAAGCATCAAATAGAAATATTCTTTTCATTTTTGAGCAGTATATATTGAAATGTTGCTAGTTTGGAAGAAAGCCAAACAACTAAATAATTGGTCATGTTCCAACAATTAACAAGCTGACTGTAATCAGGCAAATTTTTAATTTTTGAGCTTTGCTGGATTTCGTTTGATATTTTATTATTTTTTATATAATCATATATAATATATTTTTTATATAGAGTTAATATATAATTAATTTTTATTATAATTATTTCCTTTAATATGCTTAATTTTAATGTTCCTATTAAATTTTTTAATAAATATAATTGATTTGTTTTAAGAAGATGCTTTAGAAAAACGACTACAATTAACTTTTCTTTCACTTTCATTTATTCTATCTTATATTTCACAAGAAATCAGGAAACAACAAATAGGTAAATCTATAGGATATGTGTTCACAGGGGTGTCCACAAGGGGGTTTCATTGCCAAAGTTGTGCCATCAAAATTGTTGAGGGGTGGCAAGTTTTGATGGGGTTTTGAATTTTTGAGAAGGGGGCACATTTCGAAGGGATTATGAATTTTCGGATTGAAATGTTTCAAACCAGAGTACAAGAAAAAAGTAGAGAACATACCACTGCATGTGTAATTGTATATGACCTTTGATTTTCAGAACTTTACTTTAGCTTGGATTATTTTTTTAACAAAGGAGAGCAATAATATCTTAGAAAAAGGGGAGAGGGTCTCATGGCTCATCGACCTTGGTGGAGATGGGCACTCCTGTGTGTTCCTGATGATCTTTAAACTAACAAATTTCCAGAAAAGATGTCTTCTACATTTAAATAGGCAGAGAATCAGATTTCATAACATTTCTGGTAGTTCAGTTCTGAATGTAGCTAAGAAATTTAACAAAAATTCATTATAAATTGAAATACATTTACTTTCCTATATCTCATTGATCCTAATTTCCTCCCCTCCTGACAAATCTTATACTGATATCCAGAGATCTGGAAGTTTTTTCAACCTCTGGTAAACCTTCTATCATTAATCTACAACATTTGATCATAGGGCATGCCAAAATTGAGGATACCAACGATTGTCAGACTATAAGATACTCTGACACAAGCTTCATGACTCTTCAACACCACTTAACCATTTCTTACGTTTCTGGTTTAATAATTAATATTAGAGAAAATTTAACAAAATAAGGACATTTCAGAATACGTCTTCAATCTCAGAAATAAAATTTTCACTGTATTTATTTAAAAAATCAAACAATTCCATAGGCTAATTATAGAGATCGGATTTCCATGTCATTGCGCATTTTATTCGCTTGCGTATGAAAACTTCAAACCCGAGTATCTATCCGTTTCACTATGTTTAAAATAACATATTCAAATTTGATATTACAAGAAATTGCTGTTTTTGTCCTAAATTGTACGTTTTTTATTTTTGTTGCATTAAATTGCACATTTCGTATCTTTTTTTTTGTGTTAGATAAGATGTTTTAGAAATATTTATAATATTTACTTTTTTATTTTACTATATTGTCCATGTTAAGTTTATAATTTTATGCAGGAAAATATGAGAAAGGTAACTAATTCTGAGACTAGTAATGATTCGAATTTAACGTAATGGACGGAAGAAATGAACCGAAATGGAGAATATTCTTAGAATAGAATATGTCTAAAGTATTAAGTTAACAATAAAAAACTGCCTTCCTAGAATAATACGTTTTGTTAGGAAGACATTTATTGTTTTGACTCGATTCTCACTCATTCTTTAGCCCTTCAGTAACTCTTTCGGCTTTAAAGTGAATTGTATTGCTTTCATTATTATTAAAAAAAAATAAAAAAAAAATAATCATGGCGAAAGCAGAATCTCGATCTAGGATCTTGTAAAAAAAATAATATTTAGATATCAAATTAGGCAATTTGACAAAATTTTTTAGTGTTCTATAAAAACATTAATATTTGAACATATGAGAATAACAGACACATATAATTGAGTGTTTGTAAAGATAAAATTGAACTGGGAATAAATAAAATAGGACGTGATTGCGTACCCTAGTGTAACAAATATCGAATATGAAATTAAAATTTTGAATTAATACCTTCTGACGTCCGCTTGAGATTATCAGCCACTGTAAAGTGGATGCGTGTCTGTGTCTTTCGACTTCTTTTATCTTTGAAAATTTAAAATTTCGTTTGTATATATTATTTCCATAATGTTTATTTTAATCAAGATAATCGTTTGTTCTGAACTATAATAATTACAATTAGTTTGGTATGCACTCGTTGTTCATTAGCGTTTAAGTGCTTACATTCTTGATCCATAGATTGAAATATATTTTACCTTCGGTTGTGAGATGGTCTTGTGAACCAATAGTAGAAAAGGGTGCCACATACGAAGATTAGAAACAAAACGTCTCCTGGTTGCACATTCTCCTTCAGGTACTTTATGCCAATGTAGGTTAGTGTAATTATGGCACATAAAAAAACAGAAAGTATTAATTTTAAAATCACATTTTTTCGATTCGATGGAGAAGTGTATACTTGAAAAATGAAACTGGACACATTTAGAAGGCCACGTAGAAGTTTCAAAAGCATTTTAGCTAAACGGTGTGACGAACTGGGCAAAATTGTTATACAAACAGGAATACGTTGCATTGATAAATCCACTCATGCATTGAAGGCCAAACAGATAATTATTAAATATGCAATCTCGGTACAGATCCGAAGACTTTTTTATTCCTTTAAAATTTTGTAAATAATTTCGAGTAAATTCTAGTCATTAGGGTCTTTAAATATTCGAACCATATTGGTAATATATGCTTTCCACTTGGATCGTAAGATAATTTGATCACAAAATCGAGTAAAAAGGTGATCCATATTGGTATGACCCCTAACCATATTGGTAATATATACACAATAATAATATAATACATGCACTGCATACCTAGGACTCACAAATATTATTTAGGTAATCGATTTGAAGCATCAAGGAATAATGCCAATCACGATCAAACAGATAGGCCTTCTAGATAAATTTATTCAAGTCGCTCTAAAAAAGAGATATTTAGCCAAAAAAACAAACAAACAAAAAAAATCGAAATTTCAATGTTTTTTGAAAGCACTGCAGTGAACCCACAAGGCTTTATTACAGGGTGGAAACTTGGATTTTTTATATTAACTACGAATCTAATAATACAAAAATTAAATTTGAATTGCCCGAACTTTTGCAAGGTAACATGTCTAATTTGACTGGATTATGTAAGAACAAAAACTAAAAATTTACTGAAGACAAAAAAAAACAGATAATTTTTAGTTGGTTGTACAGACCCTTTTTATCAAATTATTAACATCCGCCTGACACTTCGTAAATAGATCTAATCGTAACCTACAACTGTTCTATTTACGAAAACCCTTGGAATTTGGGCGTTTTCAATTTGGAGGTGGGAAAACTTTGTCTATTTAACTAGGTAATAAGAACTAGTAAATACTCATTTGCTTTCCACTTGGATCGTAAGATAATTTGATCACAAAATCGAGTAAATAGGTGACCTACAAAAATATTGAGCTGTTTGGCGTGGACCTAGACCCCCAAATTCTCAAAATAACGAGGTTATATAGGAAAAACGGCCCAATATTTTTGTAGGCCACCTTTTTTATCAATTGTATGATCAAATTATCTTATATATCTATATAATCTCGTTATTTGGAAAATTTGGTGACGTAGGTCACGCCGAACGGCTAAAACTTTTTAAGGCCTTTTTTTCTCGACTTGGCGCTGACGCGACATATATATATTTTTTTTTCTAAACCGGAAAGTAAGATTACCTCACGAAATCTGGTACTTTATCGAGATTCAACCCTTTAATAAGAATAAAGCATGTATTGTACATATTATACCATGAAATATATTTTTTGGGGATAACAAATGAGCAACTATAAAAACTCTTAAAATTGAATTTTCGATAAATCGAAAAATGTAATTTTTGTCCTCAATATTCTGCCTTCTATTAATAGATCTTATGAGATCCATCTTTATTTATAGCTTTATAGGGCATATTAGTAGACCAAAATATATTTATTTTTCGATTGCAAATGAAAATTTCCTTAACCTCATCCCTCTTGTTAGTCAGTTACCGCCTTATAGACTAGAAGATACCGACCATTTCATTTCATATCTCCTTTTTAGAACAACATAAATAAAAAATAGTTATCTATGGTACCCAATCATAAACAGCCTAAAATTATCTAATATTTTCGTGGATAACACTTTTTTACTCCCCTACCGTGTACTATCTCTTCACACCACCATAAATTACAAACAGTTGCGTTCCTTGTAACTATTTATTAAATAAAAACCAATGTTCTCATAAAAAAGTGGCCACACTGTCTCAATATGGCGGATTATCGTATTTGACTCGAGTTAGTTTCCGGTTACTGAGATTCAGCAGTTGGCTTAATTTCGTCACAATGGTCTTTTCTTCGGCCAATCCAATATTTCCGAATAAATTATAAATGTTAATAGTTTCAGTTCCACTATCGCTAATAAGAGCTAGAAAATTGCAAGTTAAGTTGAATTTTATGTTGTGAATCCATTACCATGGCTACCTGCTTGTTTATAAACAGTGATTATGCAGTCTTATATTGGGTCCAACAAGCAGTTATGGACTGTTTTCGCATGCGCAGTACAGGATTGTTAGCCAAACAATACCGGCCACACTACAGAATAACAACATACTACTAATAGGATCTGTTCCAACATGCAGTCCTGAACTGTTTGCGCATGCGCATTACAGGTTTGGTGGCATTGTTTGTCTACTAAATCTGTACTGCGCATGCGAAAACATTTCAGGACTACTTTTTGAGACAGACAATATTTGTAGTATATTGTTATTCTGTACTGTGTTCTCTTTCTCATTTAAATATGTTTGTATGTTAGTCAATTAAATAGTATTTTCAAGTGTTTAGTTTTCAATATTCTTATTAATGATTAGTTTACCCAAGTTACAAAAAAGTAGAACCCTAATTAGGTAAGAATCGTAGAATAACGTTTGTTGATTCTTTAAGATTTAAAAAAATGCATACATGTATGGGTCAGACACTTCTTGTTTCAAATATGTTGGAGATTGTTCTAACCAATAGCAATTGCATGATATTCTTTGACATTACATCCAAAATTAAAAGTGAATACCTATCAGCGAATATATCAAAGGTTATAGAAAAGAAATTCAAAGTACAACATTCATAAACTAATTTATTTCATCAAACATTGAAAACAAAAAGTATCATTAGCAATCCGCGAAATGCTTTTAGTAACCTCCAGAAGTTTTCACTAAGACGTTTTCTACTACCGCCTACTTTGAAGACATTATGTTAAGTGTTGTCTTCTAACAGCAATATCAGGATGAAAAATTGTCTGATGCAAAGATAGTGTGAGTGGAATAAACTCGTGATGGCCGAGCCTGTCAATGTGAAAACTTTAAAATTCTCGAGTCTAGCGGCGCCGGTTCGAATCCATCCTGGGCGGATTAAAATTTATGGGCCTACCGAATAAATCTAGACTTTCCCAATCTGGTTAGAATAGGATGAGGTTGTACACGGTTGTTAAGTCTAGTTAGAGTAGAAAGGTAAAATATGTTTGGCAAAGGCTGACCACATCCATTACATCTCACTTGGATCACCAGGCAATCAGGATGGTTAGGGACGGAAGGAGCCGTGTTATTAGTGAAATCAGCTGTATGGAGTGCTTTCTGGGGTCTTAAAAAGCAATTGTGCTAAGTAAGATACTTCGTTATTAGGCCTACGTGATATTCGTCATAGTGCCTACGTGACTAACTGCATTTGATCACAGCATACACATATAGTCAAATCTCACATGCAGATGTACCAGTCGTAACGAAAGCAGTACCATTCGACTTCATGAATACATAACCACGCAAGCACCAGATCCACAGACATAGAATACAAGAAATAGAAGATTTTTTTTATTTTTATTTATTTATATATATAATATTCTGTCACAGGGACAATAATGATATTGATATAATAATTATATTGATAAGAAGAAGTTAATGATTAAGAGGGAACACTACCAGAAACTTAAAATTGCACTCAGGAAAACTACAATTACAAATTAATACCATTCCATCTAGACCTGGAGGCAGGGCCAAAAAGACCGTAGCATTTTAAGCAAATTTCCAACCTTACAGACAGATAGTACTCCTGTTTGGTATTACGGAAATACTCGTCTGCCAGCTCAGACAGTTCGATTTAAGGTCTTAAGGGTATTTTAACTCAACACAAAAGTTCAAAATTTAGAGCTATTTTAAGAATTTTTTTCATGTTTGCGTTAAGATAAAATTTTGAATAATACGTCATTACAAAGAGCATGAAATGCTGAACATTTCTCCCTCTTACAGTATGCACGTCCGAATTTCATTTTCTGAAATATTTTAATCCATATGCAAAAACATTTCAATTGATAGACCCAAAAAATGCGCCTATGTATTATAATACTTCAGAAACTAAAAACGCTGCAAATTATTTCACAATGGTTTATTATTTCCAAACAATTATACATCTAAAGTAACATTACCTTCCGAGTTACAAAGAAAAAAAAAACAAAAGGTGATTCAATTATTGGACTAAACTGTTTTTCTTTAATCATTAGTAATATGCTAAAAAAAAAAAAAAAATAGCATTAGTTCAGTAACACATTCAAAATTTAAAAACCAAACCAAGGATATAACATTTGGAGTAGAACATATAAAAAAAAAACCGGAGACTATATCTTTGCTCCTAATTGTCCGATTTTAACGATTTTCTTTTTGTTTTCTAGGAAATTTTGTAAACTTTAAAAAAACTATCTACTATATAAAAAAGTAAAAACTTTTCGAGTTATTCGGAATCTAATCTTATCACCCCTCGTAACTTTTTTTTTCAGCTTCTTTACGTTGAAGTATGATATATAGATAAATTTAAAGGGCATCAAGAAGAAGACTTTAGCCAAGTTTCATTAAAATCGGCACATTCGTTTAGGCGCTACAGTCTATAGCAAGACAGGATTTTCGGTCGCCATCTTGAAAGTAAAAGGTGGATAGTAATGTCGATGAAGGAGGATCATCCTCGGGTCACCTCTGATTTTAAACCCAAATTTGAAAAAAATCGGTCCAGTAGTTTCGGAGAAAATGCGCGAAAAAATTTTTATTCGTTTTTCGAATTCTACGCTCTTGAAACGTGAAACCACAAATTTTGAGAGGGGGTTATGTTTTTGAATTTTTTGGTCGATCACAATGTTTCATTATTGAAAATAATAAACTATAAGGATGATAGCATGGCGAAAAAGGAAAAAATAGTGTGAAAATCAACTGATAACTAGTTTTATTGGTGATATGGATTAAAATATCTCAGGATTAAATATGGATTAAACTAAAATTCGGACCTGCTTATTGTAAGTGAAAGGAGTGTCCTTCATCCTGTTTGAAATGGCGTATTTTTCAAAATTTTATCTTAACGTGACCAAGAGAAAATTGTATTAAAATGCCCCTAAATTTTTGAAATTGATAGGTTTAAATGCCCCTGAAATCTTCATTTGATCTGTCTAAGCTGGCAGACGAGCATTTCCGTAATACCTAACAGAGGCATGATCAGCCTGTAAGGTTGAAAATTCGCTCAAAAAAGTACGCCTTTTCGGCCCTAGTCTGGAAGAAAAGTAGAAAAAAAATTTATTCCTAATTTTTGTAAAAATTAAACTCCTCAAATCTACTGCAGTTACACTTATGTTATCACTTTTAAGAAGTGATAGAGATGGGTATTGGTGTAGAGATATTGGTGTAGGTTATGTTATGCATTAATGTTGACAGTGGCTGATGGTCCATGTTTTCAATGTGGCCGAACTGGATCAAGATGACCAAGTAAGTCGTAGCAGAGGAGATCATCTAGAAGAAGAAAAATAATACTTAATCATTATTATATTCTGAGTCTTTTATATAATATAAAGAAGCCTGATTGAATTGTGTACAACTCAATAACAATAACATTGCTAAATTTATTTTTTTTTAAATCCGACAATTGGGCTACATTGACTTTACCTTTGATATATGCACTGATATATATGACAGAATCATTAAAACCAATTTCAATTTTTTTCAGTAGTCATTTAAGTGATATTTATAGTTAAAAAAATTATAATATCTGCACAGACAATGAGTTGGTTTCAGTAGTGAGTGGTGAGTAGGTGATTTCAGTGTTGAAATACAGAACTGTGAATAAAGGTATACATCTTCCGACAAGAAATATCACTAAAATTAAAAATAAAAATTGGTTTTTGTTTTTATCAAATAGATATGTACATTTAAAAATGATTTACACAATACATTTATACAGCGTCGGCTTTAGACATTTGACGCTCCCTGGTGATGACGTTATCTATCCAACCCTAAAAAAATTAAATTTATTTCTTATGCAGTTTTATATTATTAAATATTGTAATTTTATTTCATTTAACATTTTTTCTAATACAGTTGTTTTATTGATAGGCTAAAATTAATTATTTTAATGAAATGAAATGAAAAAATATTTTATTATTCTGGGACTGTTGTCGCTTTAGAACAAATTATAAGTACAGATTGTATGTCTGTGTGGTCACAATTAAATTATATATTTACAATAAGAGTTGATTAAAAAAAAATACTGAAGAAGAGAAAGAAAAGAACATATATATAAGAAACTTTTTTTTTTTTTTTCCTATGCCATAGTTATTGGTCATTCGACCATCCGACATCTTGCTGCCCAATATAATTTTGATTTTTGTATGTAATCATTTACATATGTTTGATTCTTTATATCCGTCAAAGCAGGACATTCGTTTAGGTGGTCTTCATTCATTTCCGCTTGTTCACATAATTTACACCTACGATCCTCAGCCACGCCTATCTTGTGGAGATGACATTGTAGATAGTCGTGACCAGAGGCCAGGTGGAAGCAGGCTACTGCATCTCTTCTTGGTAGGTCTGCTGGGATCGGGTTTTCCATCAAACATCCATAACGTTTCCCTTCCACCTTGTCTTTGAGCATATTTTTTGTTTCCTCCTTCACTATGCATCCTCACCATTCGCAGAATTGAATCGTAGGATTTTGGATGGACTGTTTGTGGCAATTCTGCTCCCCTCCTGGCGAGACTATCGGCTTCCTCATTTCCTGGAATACCGCAATGGCTCGGAATCCACTGAAGGACTACATTGGTGCCTCGGAGTGTTAGATATACTCCTTATATAGGTATATAAGAAACTAAAATAACCTAAATAAATTGAGGTAGTCTCTAGGTAGAGGGGGTACTTAGATATTTCTCTTAGATCTATTTCGTAATCAGTCGGATTGAGAAAGGATTAGATGTTTAAATAAGAGAGGTTTGAAAGAGGAAACTGATTGTGCGTGTTGAATGTCAGCAGAGATGGAATTCCAGAGGGAGGCTGCTATAATTGCAAAGGATTTGTCAAACGCAGCGGTTCGGTGAGGAGGAGGATAGAGGTCGGAAGTACGAGATCTACTTGGGCGGAATTGGATGGAGTATTTGAATTGTAAGCTGTGAAAAATATAGGAGGGTCGATGAGTTCTAATAATCTGGTACAGAAAGATTTCTAGGAATTTTTTTTTTTAATTTTTTAAGTAATTGCACCGGCTGCCCGTTTATAGATTTATACAATAAGGTGATAAATATATATATATATATATATATATATATATATATATATATATATATATATATATATACTCTTTTCAATAAATCATTTTCAATTCTAAGATTATGACTGTATTTTCTTTCCTGTTCAGAGCTCATTTTCACATATTAATTTTAATACCTACCGAGAACAACAAAGTATAATCCAAGTTAAATAATCCACAAGCGGTGAAGATGACCTCACTCTTCATCGAAATATACAGTTTTAGCTTTTCCTGAAAAATTATTCATATTGTTGTGGTTATTTATATTTTTTTATTTTAAACATTATTATTACGCAAAAGAACCCACTTATATCTTATATTTCTCTAATAGTGATAGTTAAATGATTGCATCACTAGAATATTATAATACCAACAATAATAATTATATTAATATTTACATAACTCAGTAAATATTAATATAATTAGCATAATTATATAATTAATATAATAAGCAGCCTGAGTCGTAAGATACGGGCCTAACTCCAAGAATGGAGTTGCACATTAGATTCTGTTTGCAATCCTCTTCTGGAGCTTGCCCCGTTCCTCCCGACACATCCAATATAATAACAACAATAATTCCAACATATAAAATAAGTAAATAAACATAATAATATTAACTTAGATTAATAAAGTGCATTGTTTAATAATATATGAAATTCTAAAAGTATTTATGCGATTTTAATTAATAATTAATGTTCCTAGTCCGTGGTACAGACATATTTTTATCGAATTATTAACACCCGCTTGAAACTGCATAAATAGCTTCATCTTATTGTAGCTTACAAATATTTTAATTACGAAAATTCTCAGAATTGGGACGTTTACAATCTGAAGATCGATAAACTTAGTTTATGTAATAAGGTACTAAAAACTCATGAATATCTATTTGCTTTCCACTTGAATCGTAAGATAATAAGATTACAAAGTTAAAAAAAAAAAAAGGTGACCTACAAAAACTAGGTCCATTTGGCAAGCTCTTCACCCTGAAAAAGTTAAAATAACGAGGTTATATAAGCCCAATATTTTTTAAACCACCATTCTTTCCGAATTTGCGGTCATATTATCAAACGATTCAAATGTAAAGATAATGTGTTCATGAGTTTTTAGTGACTAATTAAATAGGTAAACTTTGCTGATCTCCAGACTAAAAACACCCCAATTTTGAGAATTTTCGTAAATAAAATATTTGTAGGTTAATAGGTCATACTATGAGATGAAGCTATTAACGCATTTTAAGCGGATGTTAATAATTTGATAAAAAGGATTCTGTACCTCGGACTGTACTAAAATATTTTCTAATTGTGATTTCTATGTTTTAATTATCAATTTAGATGAACAATGTATGAATTTACGAGTCACAGCACTATGTACGTATTCAAAATTAATAAATGTACGTTTCTTTCAATTGAATAACTTTTTAATATTAATTTATCAGATTAAAATTTAATTAAGAAATATTTTCTTGCTAAGTAATGAATTAAAACGAGAAAAGGCAAACTGGTCTAAGTGTCTTCAGTATTTATTTTCAGATTCTTCTCTTGTATATTTTCAAGTCTCAACTCAATATTATAAATTAATAATCTTAAGTGTAAATAGGCATAAATTAATTATATTATAAAAATATAGGTTAGTTGAAAAGAGACATCTTTGTAAGGAAGGAGGTATTACTAATCATTGAACTATTGTGTGGAAGGTAAATGTCTAATATTGTAATGAGATTTTTTAAAAATTACTAAAAGTATTCTTGGTTTTTTTATGACTTTATAAAGTTAGTTTCTGCAAGAGGTAACCACTCGTCTTATCAGTGTCTTATATATTTATTTTTCTGTTCTTAATATTGAACTTTTCTTTTTTTAAAAATACTCCATCGGCACCGAGACGCGAACTCGTGACTATTTTTATCACTTTGCCTCATATATTAATCAGTTCGCCGAGCAACGGCGGTGCTGTGCACACATGTTAGCACGTTTGGCCACATCGCCCACAAGGTCTTAATATTGAGCTTTCCAGGTTTTCGAGGTGGACCATGGTTTTACAGACTGTTTGATTTCCTTCAGTTTATTGGGTGGGCTCTCGTCCCACATGGATTGCCAACCAAGAACTATTTTGTTTTTGAGGGTAAGACTTATGTCATGTGGTGTTAATATGACAGCGCCTCGTCTTGGATGGGTGAATGGTTGACGCGTCCGTAAGCTCATACTGTAATTTGGATTTTACTTCAGAATTTCAGAGAGGGTAATAGAGAAGAAATGTTATATTTCATTTTGTGGGATCAGAGTATGCGCCAGGACAAGATTAACCAGAAATGTTGAAGACCTCATTTTTCGAGAAAAAAAATTGTTCTTACTGGATTTTGCATTCGTATGTATGTCATACACCGGTAATCTACAAACTTTCTTTTATAATTGTTGCTAAAGACACTTAGACCCTTTCTTCTCTTTAATTCATCATGGTTTAAATGCTAAATTCACTTATAGAGAGAGTACTTACATTATGTATTAATTCATTGGTCGAGTCTTCGATCATGAGCTGGTAGAGTTGTTTGTTGAATTCTTTCGACTGAAACATCTCATACTATATCTATACAGAAATAATATAATTATAATATATTTTATTTATTCTGGGACCAAGCCCTTTAGAATAACACTTAATAATACAACTGTGGTTTTTCAGAGCCTCAGAGTTTTATAAAATAAACAAATAGGAATATTAAAAAAATCAAAAATACTGTAAGTTAACTTCTAACATTAATGAATTTAAAAAACTAAGGTGTGTGCTTTAGACCACATGATATAAGTGAAAACATCAACAAGGCGAGATTAATAATATGAAATATGAATTATAAATAATAGCTCATTATAAAGAGGGTGAAATGATGAACATTTCTCTCTCTTACAGTATGCAGGTCCGATTTTTATTTTCTGAGATATTTTAATCCATGTCTTGAATAAAACTCGTTATCATTTGGTTTTCGATACTATTTTTCCCTTTTGGCCTCTCTAACACGGCGTTGCGTTAAGATACAATTTGAATAATAGTTCACTACAGAGAGGATGAAATAAAAATATTTCTCTCGCAAACAATATGCAGGTTCGATTTTAGTTTTTGAGATATTATAATCCATATGCAAAACACCTCAATTAGTGTTTACAAGTAGTATTCGATTCCAGCTGACTTTACTCGAGTATTATACATAGGAGATCTGACGGCTCAATGTAATTCACTCTCCAAAAAAAAAGCGCCTTAAGAAGTCTTCAATAAAAAAAAATATTGACAAACTAATAATTTATTTACATATTTACAGAAACATCTATTAATAATTGTTTACAATCTATTTACAATTCCGACTAGGTAGATAGGATAAACTAATTATTAAAAAACACTTTATTCAGAAATATTACAATTTGTCACAGTTAAGGACACTTATAATAGAGTTCAGAGAATGCATTCATACCGTATATACAAAAATATAAATAATTAAAGTAATAACAAAAGAATAAGAATAAAGAACAAAAGAGTAAAGAAAAAAAAAATTATATATATACACATAAGTAAATAAAAATAGAAATAAAAGTAAAACAAACACCTTATATAAAACATACATTATTTACAATTTGCCAGGTGATCTCCGAACCAATCCTTTCCCCTCCACATGTGGAGGGAAAAGGGAGGCTTAGGAGATCCCTACGCTTCTCCCTCAGCCACTTCACTGGTATTTTAAACCAGCGGAGGATGAGTAAGAGCGCTACAGCCACAGACACTCATGACTTGAGTGGAGAATCTGGCCATTGCTAGAACTCCAAAATATCCATATTTACAAAAGGTCTCGTGGCCACTGCCGCTTTAACCTACGAAGGGGATTGTAGGGATGGGTGGTGCTTGATAGGGATTGTACAACGGGATTTGGGTGATGAGAAAGGTTCTGGTGAAATTTGGAAAATTTGGCTGGGATAAGATCAAGAATAAATGGGATATTAAGGTCATGATGTAGGGTTTTATTGGTTACATAGAAGGGAGCATTGACTATTGTACGGAGGACTTTAGACTGAAAGGATTGAATGCGTTTGATGTTAGAAAATTTGGCTGTTCCCCATAGTTCTAGTCCGTAAGTCCAGATGGGTTTCAGTATTGTCTTGTAGATCAGTAATTTGTTTTCACCAGAAAGTTTAGATTTTCTATTCAGTAGTCTATATAGCTGGCCATATCGTCTGTTAAGTTCCTGTCTTTTAAGTCGAGTATGTGGATTCCATGTTAGTCGTCTGTCTAAGAGAAAGCCAAGATACCGGACTGTATCTGAGAAAGGAAGCTGGATGGAGTTAAAATAAACTGGTGGGCAGGTATTACGCCGAAGGGTGAAGGTAATGTGTTTACATTTAGATTCGTTTACCTTAATGCGCCATTTCTTACACCAGTGTTCAATCAGGAAGAGGTGCCTTTGTAAGTTTGCGGACGCTGTTTCAGGATCTGAGTTGGAAGAAAGGATAGCAGTGTCATCAGCGAAAGTTGCCAGGAGGGTATCGGGATGGACAGGAATATCAGCGGTAAAGAGAATGTAAAGGATGGGGCCCAAGACGCTGCCTTGAGGAACGCCAGCCTCAATTGAGTAACAGTCGGAGAATTCGGTGCCACAGCGAACTCGGAAGGAGCGGTCGGAAAGATAGGATCGGAGTACTAGGTATAAGGACTGTGGTAGATGGATTTTAAGCTTGAAGAGTAATCCGGCGTGCCATACCCGGTCAAAAGCTTGCGCTATGTCCAGAAATGCACCCGAGCAATACTGCTTGCTTTCTAGGGTTGAGGATATATGGTCAACAACTCGGAGTCCTTGCTGGACAGTGGAATGTTGGGAACGAAATCCGAATTGATGAGTAGGAAGGTTATAGGATTCAATTATAGGTAGGATTCGTTTCAGTAGGATCTTTTCAAAAATTTTTGAGAGGATTGGGAGTAGGCTAATTGGTCTATAGGATGCTGTATTGTTGGAAGGTTTGCCTGGTTTCAAGAAGAGGACGATGGTGGAATGTTTCCATAAAAGAGGGAAGTGGGTAGTTCGTAGGATGCAATTGTATATATATGTAAGAAATATGATGGCTTTAGATGGAAGTTGTCGAAGGATCTGTGGGGTTAGAAGGTCATATCCAGGAGATTTGCGAGGTGTGATTTTCCGTAAAAGGTATTTGACCTCAGAGGGATTAACAGCTTTAGGTGGTAAGGAGAGTGGGATAGGTATTGAGAGGGATTCTTCTACTTTTACTGTGTGGCTGGGATGGGATTCTGGATGAGGAGCGAAAGTATAGGAAAGGTGTTTGGCAAATTCCTCGGCTTTATCTTCATCAGATGCTGCCCAGGAGCCATCATCTCGTCGAAGAGGGTGGGAAATATGATGGGATTTGAGGATTTTTCTGGTGATATTCCAAAGGGAATTATCATGAGCAGAGAGTGTGGTGAGGTAGGAATTGAATGATTGGGATCTGAAGGTGGCTAATTCTTTTTTTAATTTTTTACAGTGATAATTGTAGGAGTGGCGGTCGGCTGGATGTCTGGTACGTTGCCATAATAATCTGGCACGGCGTTTTATGTGGATTAGGTCAAGGAGGTGTTGAGGTAAATTATGTTTCTTAAGGATTTTTGAGGAGTGATCAGGGGAGGAAGCAGTCCAGACTGCTTCTTGAATTTTGGTAGTGAAGGAATGTACTGCATTGTCCAGGTCTTCAGAGGTTTTCAGGGTTACTCTGAGGTCAATTTTATCGGAGAGGATTTGATGAAAGAGTTTCCAGTTAACTGGGCCTCTGATGAAGGACGGAGGAGAGGGTTTAGGAATAGGAGCTAGTGATACTTGGAGTATTAATGGGCTGTGGTCTGAGGAAAGCTCGTCAAGACGGGCAACGGAATGGTTGAGAGCACCTAAACCATTATGGATAAAGAAATCGAGGATATCGGGATTACGGTTAGGATCAGTGGGCCAGTAGGTAGGTGAGTTGGGTGGAAGAAGGGTAAAATTTTGGGAATTGAGTACAGACAGCAATGTTCGACCACGAGAATTCGTGGTTCTTGAACCCCATTGTTGATGCTTGGCGTTTAAGTCTGCACCCAAGATGAAATGATGTCCTAAGGAAATGAGGAAGGAACTAAATTGGATATTGGAGATGGATTGGTTTGGAGGGCAATACGCTGATGCAACGGTAATAGGAAAGGAGAAGGTTTTGATTACGACTGCGGTGGATTGTAGGAAATCGTGTGTAGGCAGTGGGAGTAGGTGATGGGAGAGGGATTGGTGCACAATGACTGCAGTACCGGCATGTGCTCTACCGTCAGGATGGTCGGTACGGTAAGTTATGTATTGTGGTATTTTTAGGAGCTGTTTTTTAGTCAGTCGAGTTTCCGTTATTAGGGCTACGTCTACGTTCTTGTCTTGTAGTAAGGCTGTTAGTTCGTGTATGTGATTTCTAACACCATTCGCATTCCAAAGGAGAATGGATATGGGTTTGATGGAAGTCATTTAAGGATTTTTTAAAGGAGGGATAAGGTGAGATACTAGGTTAGTGAGAAGTGATATCAGTGGGGTAACAAGGGATTTAAATTCTGAAAGAAAGGATGTCAATAAGCTGGTTAGATCTGTAGCATTAGGCGGTGGAGGAACATATTGGATTTGATGTTGGTGAGGTTGTTGTTGATTAGGTACATTAGGTGGGATAGGATATTGAGATTGGGGTTGAGTTTGTTCTTGCGGCAGGGCCTCACATACATTAGTCGGGTCTCTACCCCCAAGTAGCTTGGCAAAAGAAACCTTAGAGTTCACAATTTTAGCGGGTCCTCTTCTTGGTTTAGGTGTATCATCAGGGTCCCTGGGTTTCATATATCTCGCTTTAAGATTTTTATAAATTTGGCAGCCTTTGTAGTTGGCTGGATGGCCTTCCAGGCATAGGGCACAGACTGCTGGTTCTGTAATTGGTTTATTACACTCGCCAGACTTGTGTGTTTTACCACATTTCACGCAGCGTGGTAAGTGGTGGCAATAAGACTTGGTGTGGCCATATGCTTGGCAATTATGGCACTGGATGAACTCTCTTTTTGGGTACGGTTTTTCGACCTTTACGCTGGTGTAGAAAATTCTATTCACATCGTATATTTTTTCGATCCCAGGCGATGGCTCTAGATCGACGAAAAATAAGGGCAATGGGATTTTATTCTTTACTCCTGGTTGTTCTTTATTTTCTTTTAAAACATTGGTTATCTGACGGATTTTGAACCCTAACGCCGTTAACTCTTCTTTAATCACTTCTATAGGGGTTGAGGAGTGTAAATTTCTTATTACAACTCGTAGTGCTCTTTCCTGTTTCAACTGGTATGTGTGAAAGTCCGCATTTGTGTCTGTTAAATATTTTACGATTTTTCGGTACGCTTCAGGTGTGGCCGGTATTATTTTTGTATCATTTATTCTGTTTAGGCATGTATAGCTACCTGGGCAGATTTTATTAAGTTGAGTACACAACAACTGAAAATTTCTCAAATTTTTGACAAAGATAGGAGGTGGGCGTGGTTCTCGAGGTATAGGTGCATCTTCCATT